TTTAAATATGTATATACTGTATTTTCAAGTTCCATATTAGTACTCGTAACTTGCTTCATTAAACTTTGCAGGGAGGCTGTTGGGTGTCAGCAGACTGTCATAAGTGGGATAAGGTCAGCCTCACTGCCCCGCTTTAAGAGAGTTTGGCTCTCATGGCAACCTCCATGAACTAAGAGATGAAAATGTGGCTGTGAAGTCCATAGAGTTACATCATATGTTCATAATGTCACAAATTTCAGACACATTGTTGACATGCAAAATGCAACCTTTTGGGGTCAATCCAGCACCACCAGGTACTTGAACCTGGAAACTTAAATCTTTGAATATAATAATTAAATAATAATTTATTGTGTCGGGGGACAGGCAGCTAAAGTGGTATAAAGAATGGTATAAATTATTGAATGGTAATGGTTAAAGAATGGTAGTAAGGTATAAAGAAAAATTATGACATCACATACAAAAATTAAATACTGAAGATGAGAAGACTATGTAAAATAAACAAAAATCTAGCATTGAATGTAATGAAATGCCTCATTCTGGTGAGGTGCCCTCTGTGTCTTCCTGAGCTAGCCACCTGATTACTAAGGAAGCCACCGAGAGGAGGCTTTCCCTAGAATCCATGTATGCCTACAGACATTACTTAAATTATCTTCTATGCAATTGTCTCAAAATAACACATATTATATATACTGTAGCTGCACTTTAACTTATTTGATGTGACACTGTTATCTTGACACAAAGATTAAGCATCCCCAACTGAATATCCTAGGTCATATTTTGGATTCATGATTCAAACACTATAGTTCATCCTGAATTTGGGCTTATTTTCCTTGACAGTAATTGTTTTATTGAGTTAAAACTCATCTTTTATGAAGACTATTTTACAGCCATGAGTCACAGGTCAAGAAAGTATTCATGATGTTCAGAAAACATATAGAGTACCATTAGTTCAAAACTGTATATGAATCTTGTAAATATACCCAAATTTTCAAATACAATATTTTTAAGTAAATATTGTCTAGTAATATTATTTGGATAATAAAATGTAGTAATAACTTTTGTTTTATAAATGCTTTATTTGTTTGAAACTTTCAACGTACAACATAGGTTGGTGAGCTCTTGCCCACACATGCTATAGCAAATCTGCACACAGCATGCTTTACTGAATGTTTGCTTGATAAAAGGGGTGAGTAAATACAGCCTGCAAAGTACACAACTCAAGATTACCCGAAATGAGGGGTCACCAAATCGAGGTTGCATTGTACTTTAATGTGAAAGAAATATTCAGACAAATAAAGATAATTATTGGGAAAAGGCACTAAGCCAGAGTAAGTATATACAGTATATACTGTACCGTATCGCTTACAAAGTTATATGAGGACAGAGTGTAGTAAAAGTGCCCAACCATTTGGACCATCTGGGATCAAAAGCCAATACTGTACTGTAGTGAGACTGTCGGTCTACCAACAAGTCCAAGTGGATGGTTACACAAGACTAAAGGGACAAAATGATTCAAACACTGCCCTTTTAACATATCCAGTGGCTTAGTGCTTACGATAATTTTTGCCTCTAACAGCTCTATACTTCACACATTTATAATAGTTTACTGCAGGTTGATATGGCACTCTCTGAGGGGTACTGTTACATACCTTTAGGAATAGATACTTAATGAAGTTTAGTTTCATGAAACAGTACATAATTTGAACTTGAACTTTAGTCTGAAAATTTTTAACATAGATTATAAATGCTGTGAACAGTTGCTGCTTTGAACAGCAAATGCAGTGAATGGTAGACAAAATACAGTACATGACCTTTCTTATGTCGGAAACTTTTAAGTATATAAATAAAACACCGTACAGTGTGATACAACAAATTTGATCTTAACAAATTAAAATGTACTCAGTTGATACTTATGTTTAAACATACATGTATAGTATATGCATTTTAATTAGAGTAATTTCATCACATATGAAGGTCCTAACATTTAAGAGCCAGTATGCAAAAGCCAATACAGTATTTACTGTAAACTCATTATAATAATAATAATAATGTTTATTCAGGTAAAAGTACATACATACAAAATGAGTTACAAACAGAATGTTGGATTTCTAGATAGAGCTAGTACATACTATGCCTAAAGCCACTAATACGCACACAGCGTTTTCGGCATAATGAATATTGTCAATGATATCTCAAGAATGTGATATGGCAATAAAAATAAAAAATTGGGGGCTGTACAATGGGATCAAACCCACACTCCTGAACTCCCCAGATACACACACACACATCTTTTACCACTTCATGGTCCAGGGGTACAAGTTCGATCCCAATGTACAGCTGTAATATTTTTGTATAATTATATTTATCCTATTTGGAAAATAGCAGTCACAATTATATTACAAATATATGTCCCAGTGCAATATGAATCCTGATGATGCTGTACATAGCCCACTCTACGCTGCAATGATTTTGATGAACACAGCACATGCTCTGCTAAATTCCAATCCCCCTTTCCCTCTCCTTACCCTGCTTCTATCCATATTATCCCATATTCTTTACTATATTCCCCCTTTTCCTTACCCCTATTCTATATTCTCCTCTTCTTTATCCCCTCTTTTTATATTTACATATTCTTTACCTCTTTCTATCCACATTTTCTTTCCTCTCCCCCTTGCTTCTACCTTTCTTCTTCGCCCAAGCACTTGGGCTGGACAGTAGAGCGACGATTTCGCTTCATGCAGGTCGGCGTTCATACTCGGCCGTCCAATTGGTTGGACACCATTCATTCCCCCCATCCCATCCCAGATCCTTATTCTGATCTTTTTTCAAAGTGCTATATACCAGTAGTCATAATGGCTTGGTGCTTTCTCCATTCCCTTTTATCTTTCTTACATCCCTATTCCTCTCTCCCTCACTTCTACTCTTATTTTATCTCTATTCATCTCTCCCTCTCTTCTAACCTCCTCCTATCCTCATTCCTTTCTTCCTCTCTTCTATCTGTTTTATATCCCTATTCTTCCTCTTATATTTCCATTCCTAATTACAGTATATCCTTTATTCCTCTTCTAACCCCCTATTTTTCTCTTCATAAAATCCTATTTTACTGCATACTGTAACTGCAAAATAAAACCAAACAAATATAAAATGTTTTAGGCTCACTGTCTTATTTACACTGTGATTGATATGCAAGACCATATTTCCTGCTATTGTTAAAACTAAAATTTTTAATATTTCATGCATGCAGTTATATCACAACCTTGTTAATTTTTTAACCACTTGCAGTTTGTACATTTCATGCATTACAAAATACCTGCATTTCTTTTGTTGTATGGGATGATTTCTGATGCACAATAACCATGTAATGCATAAATGAAAGCAGGTGAAGATGATCTACAGTACAGAAACTCACAACCACTTGTAACGCAAAGAACAGCTGGGCATTTCTTACCTACGTTACCTGTACTTCATAGGAGTATAGAATAAATGCAAAAGTAGACATTACTCCCACTGTACATACCAATTACTGTTTTTTTCCTCGAGATAACTGCATATAATAACAATAAGAGGTTATGATAAGTGTTCCTTTTTGGAATGTTAGAGCTGCTGTCATCTCACATCACATTATAAAAGAGGCATGCAGATACGGAACACCAATAAACAGCTCATGCAAATAATCTTTATATGGAAGACAATGCTGGTCCTTGTAATATACTATATCACCACATATATCACCATGCATATATATTTTTATATATATGTACTGTATGTCTAATGTTTGTTACATGTATATAAACCTGAATATGTATACATTCGAAGACTAGTGTAAAGGGTCCATAGAATAACCCAAAGCCAGCTTAAATTCCATAAGAGTAAATAAAACACATTTGCTAACTATAATGCTGGTGCTGATTGTAGAACTTGCTTAGCTAAATAAATTTCGGGATTCAGCCCCTGAGCCCAATATGTGCCTCTGTAACCTCTTCCACAGCGGCTCACAGGATGGGTATTGGGTGCATAATAAATTAACTAAGCTAATTGACTTCATCTAACAGCAACTTTGGTCATACTGTATTTAATTATAAAATTAGTTTATTTCTGAATAAAATTATGTTTTTTAACAATTCAGCACCAACATTATAGTAAGCAAATGTTATATTCATTATATTCATTCTGGGGCCTGATGGCTGAGTGGACAGCACTCGGGGTTCGTAGTCATAAGAGTCCGGGTTCGATCCCCGGTGGAGGTGGAAACAAACGGGCAGTTTTTTCTCCCTTATTCTCCTGTTTACCTAGCAATAAATAGTTACCTGGGAGTTAGACAGCTGCTTCCTGGGATTGTGTGTGTGTGTGTGTGAAAATTAGGATTAAGGACTTGTTCAAAATGTTGTGTGCTAGTGGCTGTACAATATTTTAAGAACTCTTGTACTGTATATATAAATAAAAAAATAAAAATAAACATTATTAGATATATAATTTAAAAGAGGTTTGGGTGGTTTTAGGCAATTCTATGGACCAAGTGTAAACAGTATTCATTTGGACCCAACCCACATGTCTGAAAATGAAGAAACAACTATGTTTTGGTCCATTTTGGACCATTATAAGTCGTATAAATACATGACTTCATAGTAGTCCATGACTGATCGAATGTCGTCTTTTCTTCATTTCAGATGTGTGGGTTGGGTATCAACTCTTCAGTCACGTTACTGTGACTCATCTTCTGCATATTCATATATAGATATAAATTTCAATTTACACCCGCTTCTGGGAAAATGTAAAAATGAGTGTATAGCCATACAAATACAGACTACCCTCATTACAAAATGAGCATTTGCTGTTGTAGGGTTGGCAGCATGCCGTATGTCACTACCCCCCACTAATGTTTCATTACTCTTTCAATATATACACCATTTTTAACCATTACACATTTCTATCTTGTAAAAGAGTACATAGGAGGATATTAGAGTGGTTGTATACATATAAGAACAGTATAAATTTATACAGAAAATCAATCCAGATAATTTGTCGACTCATACAACTGTACAGATTTGGAGAAATGTTGGGACAAGTATAATTCTTTGGAAATAAAACTTAGCAATTAGCTAACAACTCTGGACCAGAATAAAATCATTGCATACGGTTACCAATTTGCGTGTGAACTTAATTTTTAGATATTCAGATAAATATTGCCTAGAAAAAATTATAGATATAATATAATTATATTTTATTATAAATATTATATACATAAATATAATATTATAATATATAGATATATTATATAATACTGTATATAAAATGTTGATATATCTATATCAACAGAACTCCCACATACAGTACCTCAATGTTCCCAGTCTGACTCAACACAGCAGTAACACTATGCAAATCAAGTTCTAACTTGTAAAAATAGACTCCAAAATGCAATAAAATGTTACCCTTTAACAAATCTAAAAAGAGTAGTAATGATGTACCCAATTTATATTTTGTGGTTAATTCGAGCGATAGGTCTGCTACTGTACTCTTCATAGCATTTCTACCCATCGAGTCTTTAGTCTAAATGTTTAACTACTGTTGCTGTTACTTTTGCCAACCGTTTATAATCACTGTATATAATGTAATAATTCTCATTTATTCACCAAATGATCACTACCATAAATAACACCTAAATATGTACTTACTGTAGTACTGACTCAAAATTCATTTCTGTATATTTAATCAGCTTTTTCTAGCATTAAGTATCCTATCTGCAAATAATATAATCTGCATATAATCAATGTACAACGTAACTGCATGTGATCGTTATTAAAACTTGCTTGTGAAGCCGCGCATACTAAAAAGCCTTACAAAAGAATGCACTTTCATAAACAGTTCTTATAAATCTGAATTGTAATACTGTATATTCCTATGTACTCTTTTTTTTTTTTTAACAACATAGTTTAATGTTCATCTTCTGTTTACACCAACATGCTGTCAATCATTGGCTCTGTTGTCCTTGTGTATACAGTACATCCATACATATCTCTCCCATACACATTCACGCACACACACACGACAAAGAGTACTAGGAAGACGGGACACCACAAGCGTAGTTCTCATCCTGTAACTACACTTAGGTAATTACATTAAGTAAGCATACACACACACAGATCAGGTAAGCACATACATACACACACACACACACACACACACCAGGTAAGCACACACACATTATGTAAGCGTGTGCACACACACACCAAACCACTAGTACGCATTGTAAATATGAATGTCTTTGTCCTACATACACCTCTCCTTGCCACTCTATATACACCACTACCTCCTGGTATATATATTATTATTTCACTTAGAGAATATAATTCTTAATTCTTTAATTACTAGATCTTTATATGTAAAATTGCACAAGCAGTGAACAAAAGTATCCAAAATTGGGTGGGTTCACAGAATTCCTCAAAACTACCAAGACTGTCTTAGAATTGCATAATTTAGAAAATGTTAAATATATTTTCTTACTACAGTATAATATTGGTAATGCATGTAGAATATCAATAAGCATAATTTTGCTGAGAAATAAGCTACTTTTATAATGAAATATGCCAAGATAGGTGGTGGGTGATGCCAAAGTAAGTCGGTAATGAGCTAAGATTGTTGACCTAATTTTGTATCTCATTATGAAATGAGCTTATTTTCTAGTAAAATTATATTTATTCACATTCTATATTCATTACCAATGTTATGGTAAAAAAAAAGTAGTTCTTTATTTGTGTAATTCTAAGAAGTTTTGGGTTATTCTACAGACTGTAAATGGACACCTAAAATTAATTTTAATCCATGAAAAAGGGATACTTTAGGACTACTATAAATGGACACCAGACAAAGAAAGGGCATTCTCTAAGAGGATGAAGACATGCAGAGAAACATATGTAAATTAGAAAGTCATAATAATGCACATCTTTGTATCACCAATTTTTAATACAAATGGAAGTCCAGAGTTAGGCAAGCTCTCTTTGACAACATTTGCCAGAAAGCATAGATTATCATCTCACTTTTAATGTCCATCAAAAGACAGCTCCACATTGTTTATGTGTAACTTCATTATTACACACAGTAATATTAATACTGTATTTGCTGGCAGATACAACACATTGTTATTACATTAAGTAGCTTGTTGTAAGTAGCTGTAGCTTGTGTAAGAACCTGATACATACATGGTAATAGGGAAGCTGTATTTTAAAATCTTTTACAAAATTATATGATGCAACATACTAGAGTATAATTTTCAACAAAATATTCTTGTAAAATAGGGATGCATCTTAAGCATAAGAATATGAGAATTAAGGAAACTGCAAAAGGCCTATGGACCCATGTGATGCAGCTCCTATTTATATCCACTCAGACTCGTTCATATATGTGTAAAACCTATTCTTGAAACACTTTAGCAATCCTAAGCCTATTGAGTTACCAGCATTTACCTAGGTCTTTCCCAAATCTAAATTTATAAAATTAATATCCACTGTTCCGTGTTCTATTTTCTGTTGATATATTTACCACCTTATTTATATTCCTCTGGTTATACTCCTTTCATCTATTTGTGCATCTCATATGCCAGAAATACAGTATATATTACTGGTAGACATAAACATCCTGTACTTAGCTAATGGAAGCGTGTTCGTAAACGTTTGCTCTTTATTAACTAGAATTGGTACTCACTGACACTTATCACAATTTCCATCAAGCATATATTTTACTCTAAATTCATTCTGTATACAGTACAGTACTTGATTTATACTTAATTTTTACAGGAATATCACATATAGTAAATTAAATATAAGTTGAGTAATGATAAAATGCTTCATAAAGATTAGGGAAAGCAATTTTCCTGTTACAGTGCATATTTTCCTTTTTTTGTCCCTCCTGTACTGTAGTTATAACCTTTTAATGAGGTTACAGCTAAGTTTTTACAGGTTCCATTTAGTTCCATAAGCCTTAGGCCTTGTCCATCTCACGCCTGAATCTTGGACCACATTACAAGTTATGAACCTTGAACCTTATCATAAGCTGTAAAATTTGAACCATATCCATCTCAAGATTTAATCTTAGACCATATCAAAAGCTGTAAACCTTTGACCACATCACAAGCTGTAAACTTTAACCTTGGACCACATCACAAGCTGCAAACCTTGAACCATATCACAAGCTGTAAACTTTGGACCATCTCCAACTAAAGATTTAACCTTGGACCACATCACAAGCTGTAAACTTTAACCTTGGACCACATCACAAGCTGTAAACTTTAACCTTGGACCACATCACAAGCTGCAAACCTTGAACCATATCACAAGCTGTATACTTTGGATCATGTCCATCTCAAGATTTAATCTTGGACAACATCACAAGCTGTAAACCTTGGACCATACAGTATCACAAGCTGTAAACCTTGGACCATGTACATCTCAAGCCTTAATCTTGGACCTCATCATAGGTTATAAACCTTGTACCATGTCCATCTCAAGCTTTAATCTTGAACCACATCATAAGGTGTATGCCTTGGACCACGTCTGTCTTAAGCTTTAATCTTGGACCACGTCAATCCCGAGCCATAATGCTAGGAAATAAAATATTTTCTTTTTCAACAATTTTTCTTACCTGGTTAGTAAGTCATAATGTACCATTTTTATACTAACTTTTAATGACCAGACGTAATTAATATTTTGGTATAATGTTCAAGACCACATACGGCTAATACCTGTACAGTATAATTGATCAAGATAGTGACTATCGTGTTGACGACACCCGAGGCAAACTTTGGAGAGGTTTTATTTTGTGGCTTTAAAAATTAATTTTGATAGCTTATGGTCTGTGCAGCTGTGGAATAAATCACGGAACGTGTTTGAACTAACACTTCTTATAAAGATAAAAGAATATATATTACAAACTGTGCCATTACAATGCTCGATACCATTAATATAAAACATGGACCGTAATACAAATGTTAGCTTTACAAAAGTAGCTGCCCAGGTATAATATTTATGTTTGCACTGTTTAAAGCATCACACAGCATGCCCAAAATAGTCTTCCTTCGTGATTTATATGTGCAATCACATTATATTCTGCATGCATAAACTGGCATATTGTAATACTGTCAGTACCTTAGTTTAATATTTTTACTCAATATTATCAACCAAAAACGGCTACTATTGGTATCAAATTATGGAACTGTGATGTGGCACATGCTCAGACTCGTGGTCCGTCATTGTCCAAGTCAACAGCTGTCTTGTGTGCTGCTTGCCTCCGCAGATCCTCTCGAATACAAGCAGTCATGATACACCCTACAAACAGCACGGCTACCAGAAGCAAGTTTGCTGCCATGTCACCATAACTGTCAGAAGGTATAAGGATAAAACGTGTTGAATGCTGTGATTCACAAGAAAACAGATGAATATAAGCTGTATAGAAATGATTATGACTGTTGCTCATGGCTGGCATAACTGCCAGTCAAAACAATACAGAAACTTACCTACTAAAGAGCTGACCATCTGCCATGGTACAAAATATACCAAAGAACTGGGCTGAAGCATTGAGCAGACCAGAGCTAGTACCCTCAGCTTCAGGGTAAGTCAGTTCGGCTGCAAACTCGAAACCAACTGGCAGGTAACCCGTCATGAAGAACCTGTGAGGCAGTTTGATAACATTGTGTGAATAAAATATTATTATTATTATCATTAATTTCTTCAACAATTATTACATGTTAGCTAACCTCTCAAATAGTATTAACAACAAATAGTATTAACACAACAAATAAAAAATTGAAGTATAAAATTTAAAGTTATGCCCAAAATACTGTTCGTAACTAGTGACTTCAAATAATATATGATTACTGTACCTACTACATAATTAAATCAATTAAAAAAATAGCATAAATAAAATTTTAAGAATAAGATGCAGAGATATAGAGGGGAAAAAACAAATAATGACTATGGAGATACTGTATAACAAATAAGAGATGAGTAAGAATATCAATATGGTTATGAACTAATGTAACATGTATTATGGAAAACCTGCAAATGCATTTGTGAATAAAATTAATACATTAATTACAATTAACTTATGAACCTAACTTACTGGGAGACTAATGAACTTACTGGGAGATTTAAAGAGAACTACTGTATCTACAACTATCTATGAATGTTATAGGCATAATGTGATAAAGAAGTAGCTGATAAAATAGGTACTGTATATGGGCTTTCATGAAAAATTGGACATCTTAATAAGTATGAAATGCTAAGTGTAAGAACCTGGCTTAAGATAAGGATTTCAAGAGCATAAGAAATCATAAAATCATGGACTTACCCTAAAAGTCCAGCCATGACAAAAACCATCCACAGGGTATCTAGGTGAAACACAAAGGTGTAGGCAAGCATAAACACCATTGATGAAATGTACACTGAGAGCGTCACAAGTCTGTAGAAAAAATACATTAATGGAGTGAATTACCATATGCTTACATGGTTTAAAAATGATATTCAAACATCTTTGCACCTGTGCATTTCTATATGTATGTCATGAAGACCTTGGGCAATAAAGGAAGGTGACCCATAGTGTTTTCTCTATCAGTGCCACAGAAAAATAATAATCTGAGCTTGTTGACCAAACCATACATTAGAAAGTGAAGGGACGACAACGTTTCGGTCCATCCTGGACCATTCTCAAGTCGATTGTGTATTCAATCACAATTAAGTCGATTATGTACACAATCAACTTGAGAATGGTCCAGGATGGACTGAAACGTCATCGTTCCTTCACTTTCTAGTGTGTGGTTTGGTCAACATATTTCAGCCACGTTATTGTGACTCCTCGTCTGCAATCTGAGCTTACTTGAACTTGGCCGTCTTGTCAAGGATGAAGCCACACACAATAGATCCCAGCATGCCAGCCAGAACAATCAGTAACCCAATACGTCCAGCATTCTCTGTCTCGCCCTGCAAGATAAAATCTTATTTACTATAACTCTCTGACTACATACAGTACTGGTACTGTATTTACATTTGACATACTGTTTTCATGCTGTTTGTTACTTCATTTTGCAGTTAAAAAAAAAAAGTTAGTTCATCTTATATTTCCAGTAATATACATTAATGTTCATTCCATATCTACAATTATAAATCATAAAAAAAAATATTTATATAGTGAAAAAAATACACTGATGCTGACCGGGAAGTGTGCGAGGACAACCTGGTTGAGGAGCGTGGAGATGGCATAGAAGGCACCCACATTAATTCCATACGAAATCAGCAATAAAATATAGCCTGGATTTTTCATCAATCTGAAACACACACAACCTAATGATAATAATTATCTAATCATAGAGGATCATTCATTCTGTAATCAGAGGACACTTGGTAATAATAATAATAAAAAAGCATTCCATAAATGTATACCAGAATATCCACATAACTACATAACAAATGTCTGTAACTGTAACGATCAATTGTGGTTCCACTTCTATAAAAACACCACAGCATCACCGATGGTCTCCCCCTAACACCGTATAAGCATCACAGAATCATCTCTACTCTCTTGCCCTTCCCAAGTCATCTGAGCAATACAAAGAAGTCATCAGATTGTATATGTTTGGAGTGTCAGAAAGTCTTTAAAACAGTTCTTCCAACTAATGTAAGTGAACAAATAGAAGAAACACTGAAGGTGTGGTCCAGTGGGTAAAGGAATACCGAATCAATAGTTGTGAGAAAAGTTATCAGTAGTGAGATCTTACAGCCGAGTCCAATCGTAGTCTACGTTCTCTCTCCCTTTCCCCTAAAGTCTTTGTTCACCTAGCAGTAGGTTTACCCAGGAGTTAGGCAACTGTTGTGGGTTGCATCCTGGGGGAACGTCAGTACTGTAGTTCGGCCTGGGGGAACTTAGATTTTTTTTCTGACCTAGATAAAAATTTTGGAACAATATATGAGACACTTCTTTTTATTTACCTTGAATTGAATTGTCCTACTTGTCTGATATGATGCTTTTTTGAAGAGCAAAGATATACAGTACTTCTATTAACCAGTTTAAAAGAGAAACTAAGAAATATCTAGAAAATATAATGTGACAGATTTCACTTGCATTTCCTCATCCAAAATAAAACATTTTTGTGGTTTGCTGTTATTGTAAATTTTATATACTAAATAGTCTTATGTTTTTTTTTTATTTTTTGTTTTACTTATATATACAAGTGTTTTTACATTCTTGTAAAGCCACTAACACACATAGCGTTTTGGGCAGGTCCTTAATCCAAATTTTCATTGGAATACGACCCACCAAATCATTTAAACAAGATACTCATTCACTGCTGGGTGAACAGGGGCATACCATTAAGGATTGGCACCCAGTCAATCCTCCCTGGCCAGGATACGAACTGATGCCAAAGCACTCGCAAAACGCCGGGTGAGTGTTTTACCACTGTGCCACGGGGACTGCCATGACGCAGGAATTCCCAGGAAACTGTCAGGGCGAAAAATCGTTTAACAACCAAGTACCCATTTTACTGTTGAGTTAAACAGAGGCTACAGTTAAGGATTTGCGCCCAGTAAATCCTTCCCTGCCAGGATACGAACCCAGGACCAAGCACTCGCAAAACGCCAGACGAGTGTCTTACCACTTCACCATGGAGACTGTTTGTGATAATGACAAGCTATGTATTTGGTACATGTGGTACATGTGCAAAGGAACATGGTTATAAACTAAGTACCCAAATCAGCTACATAGATATTATAAACAATTATTTCAGTGTCAGAGCTGTAAATAATTGGAATGCACTAAGAAAAGGAGGTACACTCCTAAATTTACCTCAAGCCCATTAACACTGGTGGTCTCTATGAAAACAGGAAACTGGCAGCTTGTTAAAGGTCCCCCTATTTGCTCTGATGATTTTTTCAACTGGATTTTAGAACTTAACAGTTTTGGCATTTCACCCATATGGTTATAGAGCCATGGAACTGCCTACCCGCAGAAGCCGTATATGCTAAAACTCTTGTTGGGTTTTGAAATACAACTGGAAAAAATCATCAGGACAAATGGGAGGATATTTGACAAGCCGCCGGCTTCCTGTTCTTGTCGAGGACAGGTAAATTTATGGGATCGGCAGGTAGGCGGTTGCAAGGGCTAACACTTACACGCTTCGGGCTACCGAGCGCCAGACCGCCTCAAGGTGGGCCGGGCGGTCCATGTGAGCGCGCGGTAAATCTGAAAAGTGTATAATCTTTTCAAGTTTGTCACCTCAATACTCGTCCTATTTTTTTCATTTTGGTATCAATGTGTTCGCAATAGAATTCCCTACAGGAGTATATGCATATACAGACCAGAAGCCCGGCGTACCACCCGCACCAAACCGAGAAATTGACAGCACGTTATCCCTGAGCGCACAAGAGCAATAAAATGTGTATACTCTTTTCACTTTGGTCACCTAAATTCTCGTCCTAGGTCTTTTAATTTGGTATCAATGTATTCGCAATAGAATTCCATACAGGAGTATATGCATATAATGCCCAAAACCGAGGAGCGCCCCACCCGCTGCCAAGCCCAAAGCAGGCCATGTGTTACAGGTGACGGAACACCCATTGGCCCGCCAGCTACACCCACATATCCTGCTCACAAATGTTTAGTATTTTTTCTGGTTGACGACATCAATTTTTGTGTTACAGCGCTCATTTTGGTATCAAATTGTTCCCAATAGAATGCTGTAGATGGATATATGCATATAATGGCAAATTGAAGAACAATATTGCCAATACAGTAAGATAAAGTATAAACCACAATATAAAATATATAAAAAACAAAAACTGCTTACCAATCCAGTGTTGTTTGTGGAGCATGACATGGGTTGAGCATTAGTTTTATCCACTCCACTGCTCCAGGAAAACGTTTCCCGAAGTGTTAACCCATGGTTTTTATAGGTGGAGTGGATGGTGGGCAAGCATTACTGCTTATCAGCCCAGAATTGTTTCTTGCGATGGTATTTGCTGTAGCATGGTGCCGCACACAGTGGCACATTACAGGACTTGCACTTATACCTGGTGTCCCTCCTTTTACTAGACATTTTGCAAACACGACACCTCAGACGCTTCTGTATCTTCACTAGGGAATGGCACAAGTTCCTGTTCAGACGTTCTGGATTATCCATAATACGGGTTTTTTTCCTAGCAGAAGCACCACTAGGTATATTCTGACTCTTGTCTTCTGAGTCAGATGATGAATGTGCAACTGGAGGTGAAGGGAATGGTGGCCGCCTCACACCTGATGGTCCGGGTGTTGCAACATTGTGGCCAGTAGATGTGCTCTCATTGTCATGTACATCAGCAGCATGTGTGATGTTATCATTTTGCAGAGGCCAATTCTTAGGAAGAAAGTACAGTAGTGACGAAATGACTACTTCGTGGAAATGGAGTAATGTGAGTTTCTTTGTATCTGTTGTGTAGTAATTGTATAACACAAAAGCATTATGGATAGCCATTTGCAGAAAGTAGAACGTCATTTTCTTCGTCCACTTGTAACTTTTTCGTGTGAATTGATAATATTTGACCATTTGGTCGAAGTGATCAACACCTTTCATGTGTGTATTGTAGTCACAGATTGCGTTTGGTTTGTTCACAGTGACCTGTTGCAATGAAAATGTTCCGTCAGGTTTGCGTACTCGTTTCCTTCGTTCCACTTGTTGTGTATCTGCATTGTGGCAAGTTGTGATGAGTGAAACAACTCGCTTATCTTTCCACAGAATTATAAAAGTATTGTCCTTCCGTCGAAATACAGTTTTATCTACTGGCATTTTACCCTTTGCTTGGACCTGAAGACTTTTAGGTCCACCACGCTGACCACGCTGCAATCTGATAGTACCACAGGTGTACACCCCTTGTTCAAGCAGCAATTCACTCAGTCGAACAGAGTTATAGTAGTTATCCATATATAAATGATAACCTTTGTTCTTCAGTGGTTCAATCAAGCCCATAACCGTTTCAATCGTCGTCTTCCCACTGCCTGCATACACTTCAAAATCATAGATGTAACCAGTCTGGGATTCAGCTAGCATGTAGAGCTTTATTCCATACTTATCAGGTTTATTTGGATTATAAGTCTTGAAAGCTAGACGGCCACGCCATGCCATTGTGCCTTCATCCAAACGCATATTTTTCTGAGGAATGTATAATGTTTTGAATTTTTGTGTGAGATATTGCATGACTGTTCTAACTTTGATTAGTCTGTCTGGATTGTCTTTTGCAATGGCATTACTGTTATAAATATGAAAATACTTTGAAATCAATTCATATCGTTTCGAAGTCATAAAAGTATTGAAACAAGGTACATGCCAAAATTTACCTGTTTGCCAGTACATTCTGATCCTTGGCAACCTCAAAATGCCCATCAATATTGTTAATCCCAAAAATCGGGCCATGTCTTTTACACTCACTGGTTCCCATCTATTGCTTGTGTTGGTCAAAGTAGGTGCATTGCTTTGGGTAGCATACAAGTTAGTCTCATAGACCATGTATTTCAGCAAACTTTGCGTAAGAAATAATTGTACAAATCCCAGAGGAGTGCTAGGCACAGGACAAGTCAAGCCTGGTACTCCTATATAACTGTCTACAAAGGGTGGAGTATTGTCAGTAGACCAGGCTTCATCAGAACTTGTTGGTGGGGTGCGTGTGGTACCCGCGGTACGAGTTCCCATACCACGCCGTGCACGTATGGCAATATAAACATCATAATCCTCGCTCCCCTCACTTTCAGTTTCATCATCATCTGCTGTTTCCGTTTCAATGAATTCACTATCTAAATCACTGTCACTATCAGCACTTTCTGTATCGGATAAATCATCACATATAGCCTGGAATTTTGAGGGTGCGAGTCTCACCCTACTGTACTTTTGGTGCACACTACCTAGCTTCTCTCTCCGAAGTTTCACTGATTTCTTCCTGGAATGGCTCTGTTCTTGATCACTATCCATCTTGGAGTAAACGCAGAGAGAGTAAACGCAGAGAGTTTTTAAAGCCGCAGTAAGAAATATAGCGGAGGAATATAGCCGGAACGTTGACACGTTTGGGACGCGAGGGAAGGAAGGCGCGGTCACTAGCGTGGGAGGATAACACATGGGCCTACCTCGTGGGTCGCGCTGCCTCGGTGCCACATGGGCCATCAAGGAAAATGGGAAGACGTTGGCGCCAATTTTAAAACCAGTCCCCCCAAAATCGGATAAAAACCTGAATTTTGGCAAAATTTTTAATTTTTGACGTGATGCATCGTTCCCACACATTCGCCTAATAAATTTTTGACGCCATACTGCGTCGTCCCTGCGCGAAATCCCGGGTGTAAAAGCATGCGTTTTCTATCCTATACGCTGTGGCTTGTTGAGCTTGAAATCGTTGCTCCTTGTTTGTGTTACATCTGACCTTTTGAGGAAATTGTCTCGATCAACTCCATATACTTCATATATACAGCTTAAAATTTAAGGCCCTGGTAGTACAGTATGGTTCAGTCTTGACTCACAATCCAGAATTCCGGATTCGAATCCTGGGTGGAACAGAAATGGCTGGGTGCATTTCCTATCACCTAATGACCTGTTCAGTAAATAGATACCCCCCCCCCTGGGGTTAGCTTATTGTGGGGTTGCATTCCGGGCAGCAGTTCGACCTTGGGGGAGACCTTAATATAATCCTAACGTGTATATACACTGGCCGTCTGTCCCCGAATACAATGACTTTTATTAATTAAAATGTAGATATGACCACCTAATGTCCTTGAGAACTTGTACATCGCTGAATTGCAGGTTGAGGTAAGGGGAACCAAGATCTGACCCTAGAAGCATATAACTGGGTCCAGACGTGTCATCTGTCATCCAGCATCTGTCACTTATAATGGTCACACGTAGGCGAGGAGTCACAATAACCTGGCTGAAGAATGTTGACCACACCACACACTAGAAGGTGAAGGGACGACGACGTTTTGGTCCGTCCTGGACCATTCTCAAGTCGATTGTCACAATCGACATTCTCAAGTCGATTGTCACAATCGACATTCTCAAGTCGATTGTCACAATCGCCGAAACGCTGCGCGTACTAGTGGCTTTACAAGAATGTTATTACTATGCTATGTATCCTCACGATCCCAATGTACCTTCTTGTATAAATATAAATAAATAAATAACAATCGACTTGAGAATGGTCCAGGACGGACCGAAACATCGTCGTCCCTTCACCTTCTAGTGTGTGGTCTGGTCAATAATGCTCACACTATAAATTACCAAAAATCACAGAATCACCCGTAGACTCACGCCCTTAGGCCTATACAAACAATTTATTTAATAATCATGATTTAAAACAAAAAAAAACATTCATTATTTACCTGAGAACACCTTGGAAGTAGGATCCCGTTTCTTCCTGAATGAGGGCGGCTGTGCTGGGTGGGGTAGGAGGCTTCTCTCTGAATACTGTGGAGGGTATAACAGCGGTGGCAAGTATTTCAATAGTCA